GCATAGTGAATTTCTAAGACACATATAACAACCATATTGGCAACTAAGTTTTGAGGTTTGGTATTCTGAACTTCCTTGTCAATTTTTTGTTTGAAAACTGGTTTATGAATATGAATGTTACTTCCAGAAAGCCCACTTGTTTTATTTTTCCAGATTTGTTACTGTATAGCAAAAAGACTTCTAAATTATAAAACCAATATTCTAATTTCAGTATTCTGCCCAGAAATATAGTTACCATTTTAGCTAGCAATGTGAATTTTTCCAGATAGTCTTCTGAGATCAGCAGTAAGAAATATTTATTTGTAGCTTATAGTTATTTTAAACTTTAGAAAACCCTTGTAGCAAAGAATTTTATATGTAAGAATCTGGACTTCTGTCCCATCCACTGGGTGAGTTTGACTTTTGGTCTGATCCTACATAACTGCTCTTATGTACTTAATAGATAGAAACAATCTGACACACATTATAAATTGCAGGACCTTAAATATTTTTATGTTTTTAACTACCCCATCTGAATACCCAAGCCAGTTCTTTTCGGGCATTTATAGGCTAAAAAACATTTTCAAACCCAGTTTAGCATCTAGGCTATCTAAGCAGATGGTTCCTACCTCTCCCCTTTCCCAGGCAAAGCTTTCATTGAAGTCTGTTTGATTACTCTTAAAAGGAGACGTGAGAAATTATCTGGTCTCAGAATCTTTCCTTTTGGGAGCATTTTGGTGGTTGCAGTTAGTGCAGATTAATATCCAGATCTGAACAAATAAATAGTTTGTGCTGTTGTGCTGAATAAATAGAAGACTGAAAACAGAAAAATAAGGTGATTTGCTGAACAGTTTATTTATAATTAAAAGTTCTTGCAAGCTTTAACTGATGTTTCTGGGGTTTTGTGGTTTCTTGTTTTAATCTATGATTTTTTAAACTGCATTGTTCTAAAAAAAAAAATTTAGATCCAAGAAAAAAAAAAGAAGGATCATTTCATAGAACTATTTAATACATTTTTCTACCTCATACATAACCAAATTCACAGAAATTTAGCAATCCATCTCTCCTTCAAGGAAATACTTTCTTTTTATTTTTGATATAGAAGAATCTTATGCCAATAAAAAACTATTTGGTAATACAGACATGGTTAACAGTACCCTGAAGGTGGCTAATTTCTTACTGTGTTTTCTAAGTTAATTGTATTTATTGAAATGAAAATTACTCACATAGTGACCTACTCGTGTGTGTATGAAAGGAAGTGCAAGAGAGAGAAAGACATAGGATTTAATCCAAGCAAAAATATAAAATCAAGGAAGGATGTCTTATGACAACAATTTCTTAATCTTTGAAGTATAGAGTAAAAAAAACAAATAATTCTGATCTTAGAATATTTTCCAAAGGTTTCCAGCAATTTATTCATAAGACCACATATTAGATTCATGTTTCCCAGCCAGAATGCATTGACTTTAACATGCAAAACCCCCCACTGTTAATGTGTGCAGGTTTTTTCAGGTGTATCCTGGCTACCTAAATGAGGAATCCATGTTCAGATTTTAAATTGTCAGATACCCATATGTAAACTGGAGTGAAGTTCCAGAATAGTTTAATAATCTCATTATTAGCCATGGATGACAATGCTGAAGTGTCTGCACTTGCTTATATTTTACGATCATTATTTCTAATGTTGTACACCAGGTTTCTTAACTCTTTCACAAACTTGCCACTGATATCAGTAATGTCCATCAAAAAAAAAAAATTATCTTTTTTGTATAAAAATAATTTTTAGTAAAAAGGACCAAAATATAAGGAAACAAACAGCTGTCAAATAACTGAATTTGTCTCTAAATATAAAACTAACCCTGAAAAAAATGAACTAGACTGTCAGTTGTAAAAATTGTTATAGAAAGAAATAAAGCCAACAGCTTATTAAGCCTGCAAGAAACAGTTATTAGGCTTCTCAATATCTTTTGTGAAAATGCTCTGTAGTTTTAGCATGTTAAGAATGCCCATTGTTAAAGACTGCAAAGTCCTCTACGGGATATTCTTTTACTACCTTCACCAAAGAGCACTTTTTTTTTTCTCCAGACAATATCAGATGTTCAGACTTTTCTAACTATTAAAGATAAATATTAGTGATAAGACTTGGACTAGCAAAAATAATTGCAATAAAAAAGGCACTAGAGAGGAATTTTCATCCTTGCAGAAGGATTCTGAAACTGATATTAGTCCTGTTGAATGTGCAAGCCTATTGTCATTACTTGTACTTTTATTATCTTTGCTTTCAATTTACATCTCTAGGAAGGTGATCTTTGCTTTCCCTGGGTTTGTGATTATCATTACACTTCCTTCATCCCTCTAGTGTCCTTACTACTCCCCTTGAAGTTTTTCCAATATGTAGGTGTATTGTGTCTTCTTTATTTTTCAGTTACTATATTCAATTGTGAAGTAAATTTTGTGCTAACATTTTAGCATTCATAATATCTCCTAGTCAGCAAAGCAGAAGAGTGAAGTCTTGTCCATACACCAAAACTAGCCATGGAGATTTTTCAAAAACTTTCATCCTATTCATGGGTACCACAGTAACTGTGTATTGGATCCAATACAAATACTTAAAAATCAGGCACAGCAACTATAATGTACATTTCCAGAGTGAAATTTGAGAGATGATTTCTGTAAATGAGTGCAAACCATTAAACTGTTCATCTTCTGGAGAGAGCCCTAGTGTTCTGGACAGTCTGGGTAATCTTTTTGCTTAGGATATTCAAATGCTACCAGCATGTCCTACTTGCACAAGCTTGTCTGAGCCTTCACCCCCCAGGACTGCCTTCTGCACCCTATGAGCTTCAGCCCTGGGAGTTAACCTCACTGTGCCTAAGCAGAAAACTGTTGACTAGGCTTTATCACAGAGTTCTCAGAAAACTTCTGTATAGTCTTAGACCCAGGAAATTCAGCTCCTTGTTGTTTACACCATTTTAAGAGAAGCCTGCAAAGAGAGACAGTAACAGCTCTGAGGAGCTCAGAGCTGCTGGTCACTCAGCAGATATGCACAATATCTGCACTGGCATGCCTAAGGGACCGGTGGCTTCAGACCACATGCGTTGTATTTCTGTAGCCCAGAAAAAAAGTGGTGACAAAATCGCATACAATCAAGGACAAATCTTAGCTGCTAGCATGAAATGGAGACCTTCAGTTGTCTAGAGATTATAATAGGTTATTTGGGGATGTTGGTACGTAAAAGCTTGTAGCTATACCCAGAAAGGGTCTTAGACCCCTTTATTCATCAGCCCTAGTCAAGAAACAGCTTTTTGAAGAGAGGTAAGGATGGGACTCTTTGTCCCCTGAAAGATAAAGAGAAAAATTTTGAGTGCAGGTCCAGGAAGTAGAGAAACCCCCTCAAAATCTATTTTACTGCCCACGAAGTACATTTGAATTTGAGCCTTTTCACATCCATGTGGCTGAGTTACCCTGTAAGATAGTAAGTCCAAAGGAATTACCAGCTCCGTGTCCATTTTATTCACACCAAAGATAGAAGACTTTCTCTTGCATTTATATCCAGAACAGGTCTGAGAACTCTGAATACTCTAGAAAACATTTCAAGCTGGCAATTAGGTATTCAGCTTCTTGGATGGAGGACTTTTAGGCCTCAACATTCACCTTACCTCTTCCAACTGCCTAATTTAAGCATTTTCCAGCTGGATTCTATTGTATTGCCTAGTGTCCCAATGCAAAGTGTAAGGTATGTCACTGATTGCCAAAGAAGCAGGCATTGCAATGCTGAACATGGTATTATCCAGAATACTTGTATGGATTAAGTCTTCCAAGCAGTGAAGTATCCCACAGTACTCCCAGCCTGGTCAGCTACAGTGGCCCATGGTGAATAGACACCTTCTGCCCATGTACCCAGCATCCCTGCCAACAATGACCTACATCTTTAGACTCTTTACATCCACTGTGAAATTAACAATGTGTTTTTCTCTTTGAGAGAAGAGACAGAGCAATGCTGAACCTTTTGTGATTCTTACTGGTGGAATAAAGAGATGGAATGTTCTCCTGCACTGTTTATAGATTGTCTTCAGCCCTAACATGAAGGGTCATCCATAGAAAGATGAATGGACCTGGTCTTCAAGCCCATTAATTCTTTGGATTCTCTATTGAGACTGACAAAATGTTTCATTAAACAGAAGCCTGATCCAGTTCCAATTAACTTCAGAGAAAACTGGATTGTAATCTCAGCACCAGTTGGGGTGATAGATTCTTTAGTACGGGCATTTAACTACTGATAATTTGATGGATACCAATTTCAGGTCACATACGTCTGGTTACACATCTTGCTATTATCAAGCTTTGCTTGATTTGGAGAAATAAACATACCCTTGCTTTGAAAAACTTTGCGTCCTATAACCTCAGGCTTTTTAATACATTTTCATTTTGACTTAATAGAAGTTGAGCTTAAGTTTTATGTTTCAACATAACAATTTTAATGTCTGAAAAGACGTATATTGTAAATCCTACTTGCTTTACTTGTCTGTTTTAAAAATTCAGTGATAATTAAGTGATTTTTTCAAGAGATTCAGTAGTTCTTCTTTTAGTTCTTATTTTAGGTTTCTGTGTTGGCACAAGGTAAAATGCTCTTACGACACTTCACCTTTATTTCTCACCAAATATCCTTTCTATATTATTATTTCTAAACATTTTTTTAATCCAGACATACACCGAACTCATATCGGCATTAATAAGAATCCCACATGCAGGGCAGGGGTATAGACAATATTCTGCAATTCTATTTTTTTAATGAACATTTTTCAGATTTTTTGGATAATAATGAAACAAGAATTCTCACAGAGCAGAAAACAGTACAGCTAGTATTATTACTAGAGTTTCTCATTTAACGAGTTTTTTAAAACTTACAAGGTTAGTAAACTGACATGTAACTAATGACAGGATTTACATCAGAAATATATTAGTTAATTCTTATAATGGTTGCAAAATATTTGCCCTCTAGAGTAAAACAAGTGACCAACCTTTTGTCAGGGAAGGTTCCACTTCACCTAAGACAAGAGAAAAGAACAAATGTCAGAGAACAGGTATCATCATCATTAAAAAAAAAACCACATTTTTTTTCTCATGTTGGCTCATTTTAGTAAAAAAAAAAAACAACAAAACGACGAACTATTCTTTATATGATATATGACAAGCACTCTATTCTGAGATTTTGGTTTTTTCATAATGTATCTCACCATAGAGGTTTTCCTGGGTTTAGGGTAGATAAATTCAATGCGTAGTAGTAACCAAAGAAAAGTCAAAATCTGTGTTTGTGCTTCTGCATGTTAACTTGTTACTACAATTTACAATTTGCTTAATTTTATGCATATTTCCCTGTTTTAAGGAAAGGTCCAGCCAGTGTTTCCATTTTAGCTCCAAATGATAAAATGTAGATGCAGGTTAACAAGGTTGTAAATCTAGCAGCTCTTCCAGTGAAATCCAAGGCAAAAAATCAATTTCAGTGGAAATACAAGCACTTGATTGCTGCAGTGTTTTATTCCACCTCCATGCAGGACATGAAATTTAAAGGAGTTAGCCTGAATGACTGGGGCAAGTGTGCAGCCGCAGCTGCACTGACTCCAGTGAACAGCGGGCAGGGAGTTCACATGAACTTGCTTTTTATAATATAATGCAGTAAGTTGCCTGTTGTCTTTTCACACTCCTTGAAGATACTGATGAAATTCCACAGGCTGGTAGGACTGAGGTTTTCGAACACTCTGAGCACTCATATCTTGAACTTTGGTATGTTAGGTATTTTATGACCTTTCCTACTTCCATTAACACTTATCCACTGGAGTATTTGAATGTTTGCTGGTTCTTTGGGGGCTATGAAATGATACAAATGAACACCGTTCAAATTTTAGCAAGCTCTCCATATTTCACCTTTTCTGTTTCTCAACCGTGTGAGAGACTGGCTTTCTGCTAGCTGCAAATTATATCTCAGAATAGGATGCCCAGTTCATAGGCTTACATGTAGCAGCCTATCTATTAGTATTCATATATGGTGCTAATATAAAAAGCTCATGCACACATTTAAAAGGTAGAAATTTGATAATATCTGAAGTTTATGAACAAACTGGCAAAAGTCACATTCAGTACATGTGCTTTTTAATTATATTCTGGTATAGCCAAATAGAATATAAAATAAACTACCATGAAATGAAGATGTGTCTCCTACACTCATTGCTTGTCAAAATGACCAATACAGTGTTACTTGATGATCCACTACTGCTCTGCTTACACCAGGGAGCTCCTTTTTTTATGACAGAAGGCTAGCTATTTCTGAATTTGAAAGCCTGGTAATTTACATTCATTTATCAAATGATGTCAGATGAAGAATGTTACTATAATGCAGAAACATAGCTTCTAGTAAATTGAATTATTTGCAAGATGCCATTCAAAATCTGGTCAATTCAGCCAAAATGCTTTTTTTTTCCTATTTTTTTTCTTTCTTTTTTTTATTCAATATATTCTTCTGCCATAAATATATCAAATTAAAAAGTTGCAAGTTTCTTGGTCTATCTTGTATGTTTATCGGGATTCTTTAAATTCTTGCCAATTAAAAGAAAGTAGCTATTGCCATTCTCTGAAGCAATATCCTGATGCATATTTTGGTTGTGGCTTTGAATTATGTATAAATTAGTGCTCTTTACTTCAAGTTCTACTAACGGTAATATTTAATTCTGACAGCTTTCCTGTAATGGTACATTAAACATGAAATGAAAGCTAACAAAGAGACCAATTTACTGATTGGAATAGCCAGTAGATGCTTTATTAGCAACAATGTTCACTTTTCATTTTGTTTGACCTTCTTGTCTGTGAGGTTAAAAGCTGAGTAAGCCAACATAATGCATGTAAAACAGCAGTTAGAGCAGTTACAGACGTCTTTACATTACAAATACCTTCATCACTGTCATCATCATCACTCCATACGATGTCAGACAGTAAAGAAAAAAAGCCATAAAGCCAATCAGTGGATTCTTCCAATGTCTCATGAATGATTCTCAGTGGTTCTGTGCTGAGCTTGTGAACAGATCTTCCTGAGTGCAGAGTTTAAAATAAAAGCCATTTGAAAAAAAAAAAAAATACTCCTTCAGTGATTAAAGTTCATCTTCATTTTATACAGGACTACTTATACTATCTCCTTTAACAGAAACAAAGATTGTGAATGTTAATCTTTATTATTTGAGGACAGCTCTCCTTCTTGTCCAGGACTGGTATAAACTGTATCCTACTATATTTGCTGTTTGCAGAGCGATTAGGGACCCAGTGGATAATTTGAGCTGACACTGCACTCCAAGTTCTGGCTCTTCTTAAGAGGCTTGGTAGGGCAAAGTATAAATATAGATTTGATTCTACCTCTTTTTCATCCATTTAGATAATCTCTTCCTTTCAGCCCAGTTTTTTTCCTCTAGCTCAGGCCATCTGCCTCTTGAGGACTGTTTAGGATTCACTGCAGTCTGTGTCCCAATCATTTCTCATGTTCCCTTGAGCCTTCCCCTTTACACAAGTCCTGGCTGATGCAATTGCTAACCACAATGACCTGGCTAACCACACAGACAGGTCGTACCATTGCCATGGAGTGCATGTGAAGGATGGGAAGAAGAAAGCTGTGTATAATCAGGCTAAAATAAACCTGAGCCCGGAATAAAGGGGAATACAAATCCAATTGTGACAGAGTCAGCTACTGCCAAACATGTACTACTGCATGTGTTGGTCTTCGCTTTCTTACAACTCTTCTAGAGTTTCTTTCATGCACATTTGTGCACATCTGCATATTTAATCAGGTCTAGTCCTACCGCTGCTGCAGGCAAGTAAGATGGAAAACAAGGAAGCTGTGAGTTTTTAGGTGCTCCACCTTTGTGGGACCTCCAGTGGAAGTAAGGCCCCTGCTCCCTACTGTATCCACACCCAAGGAGAGCAACCATCAGGGGGTAGTACCAGCATTCCCTTGAAGGCTTTTCCAGTTGTGATTTCACCAGATTTCTCCCTACCATGTTCCAGAGGAACTTTCCAGCCTCTGACAGAGTATATCTTCTAGCCTTTCTGTCCAGCAGACTTTTATTTTCTTGAAATCTGTACCAAGCACTGCTTAGGAAAAGGGACAGCTCTCACTCAGTTCATGTTACTGTTCACTGTGCTTGAAAAGGCAGACTGAATGATTGCCCTATCTGTGTGAAGTTTTCCCACAAATGTAGGCAATCACAAAAATCACAAAAGTGATTTGAATCATTCACCTCATCTTGTTTCTAGGCATTTCAACAGAAATGCATGCTCAGTAGTAAGATGGGAGCTGTATCTCTGTTTACCACTATCTTTCTGTATGCAAACGTTTTAGTAAGAAGTTAAACACAAGTCTCTCCAGAACTACTTCTGGTTGCAGTGTTCTGACTCACAAGCCAAATCTTAGCAGTAATCAGAAGTATTCTTACATGGACTTGCAGGTTACAAAGACAGGCAAAGTGCAGGCTTGAAGCAACTCCTTTAATGGCAGCAGTATGAACAGTTATTTTCTAAAAGTGCTATAATGAAATATACAAGTAACTTTATTTGAAAAACAAATGGATCATAAAATAATTCCATTTATTTCTAATTAGTTAATCTGAAGCACAAAAGACCAGGCTGACTTTCTATTATTTTACATCCGTTTAGCAGTGATGTATACCAAAGAAATATTTTTATTATTATTTTCTTGAAGGTTATATTATATAGATATATTCTACTAAACAATCAGGTACATCAAATAAATTGATCAAGCGCCATGATGAAAGGACATAATTACAAAGAAATATGTGTGATCTCTTAATTTAATCTACTATTATTTGCACTAATGTATTCAGAATGATTGAGTAGTATAACAGGGCATGTGCACTCTGTTTTTCATAAGGCATTTTATTTTCATTGGCCTCATGCATTGAGATGTAGAAATTTTATTTTTTCAACTTATTTGCCAGAAATACTTTTCTCAACTGTTTACAGGGAGAATGAATACTTATATTTATGTTATTAAGAGTAAATCTGAAACCTGACTCCTGATGTCATTTGCATTTTACTCTAATCTAGAGGTGCTGAGGAATCCAAGGGGACTAATAGAATGGACATAACCAGAGGGATCTTAGCATAACCAAGGATTTGATTCACAAGCACGAATGGTTTAACTTTGGGCAGCTGCCTTGATTTCCACTCTGTCTTTCCACCTACTCTTTACCTTAGGGTAAAGGCTGGTTGCTTAGGGATGGCTCAGTTGCTTTTACAGCCACGGGCTTTTAGAGCTGCAGGGACTACAGCTGTAAACTAGTCAAGAATTGGTGTCAATTTCTTTTAATATACTGGTCTATCAACTAGCAGTTCAAGAACCTCTTCACAGGTAGCAGAGCTGTTCCCCCTGGGCAGGCAAAGGAAATGCTCAGAGAAGAGCAAGATCAAGAGCAGAGGAAATTATTCCAACCACCCCAAGGCAAGCCATCTTTGCTGGTGAATCAAAGCCCCTGGTCTTTAATTCATGACATCTTTAGCAAACTATGAAAAGGGATTAGAAATTGTAAGTGTCCAGAGGAAAAATTCTCCAGCTACACCTACACTAACAGGCCCAATCTGCAAATCCTGTTTAACATAGAAAGTTTTGGAAACTGGGGGCTGGGTAGAGGACATTTCAGTGGTATTTGCAAAATTAAATTTTGCATACAAACAGATACTGTAAGATCCACTTGCAATTTAATGGACAGGCCTGGAAAGTTATCTCATTGTGCATAGATCTTCTGTTTGACTTCAGTTGTATTTCCTAAATTTTTAAAAAGTAGTGGCAATGGTAACAGTGTGTCCAAAAATGCTTAAGAACATCACACCAGGTAATGCTGAAATGAAAATTATTACTGGTCAAATACATGCTTTTAGCTCTCCCCAAAATTTTGCCAATAGCAGGTTCTTTTCCTAGTAGAACAAAATACACGAGAAACAAAGGAAATAAAGCAATTCAGGGTATAACAAGTAGAGAGAAAGATGTCACTTCACACACATGCAAAGAAAGATAACTATTTTCAGAGGGTTTGAATACTCTTGCTTCAAGAGTGAACAAAGTTTGAGCTTGATATTTGAATGAAATTTGGATTTTTTTTTTTAATTTACAAATGTCCAGCAAGGGTACAGTATGGTAAATTTCTTTAGAATATCCTTGGATTCCACACATTCAGACTGGATTAACTGTCTTCTGTCTGACACTTCATTTCTTGGCAGACCTCAGAACACCCTTTATTGTAAAACTAAGTTAATAATATACTTCTCTTGTGAGACTGTGTTACATACTATGTAATATATCATTTGTTCCTAACATATAATTATAAACTGATTAATATTTTATACATGGTATGCAATGTACAATATATATATTGTATATTTAATGTCACATATCATCTTTTGTGCTGGGAATAGAAGGGGCAGGATCTTAAATTTAAACTGTAAACAGCATTTATGAATGCAGAGTATTTCTCAGATAGATAGATACATGCTGTAAAGTTCTACCTTTTGCTGAACTTGTAAATAAGGACTGAGCCAGTTCCTCTTAGATAATGTAGTAGAAAAATACTAAATGTCTGTCGAAGGAGGAAGGAGGGGAAGGAAACAGATGATTGCACAGCAGGTTAAACTCAGGGATGAAACATGCAATTAATATTGAAGAATTTTTTTGTCAGTATGTAATTTCATTTAATCGCACCTTAAATTCAGATTATCCTATCTATCTGCCAGATGTACCTTAAAGCCAGGTGTTTCCCTAGTGGCTTCTAGACTCCCTTAAAAATCAGTGCAGAAAGACATACTTCAGAAGTCCACTCTTGGTTTCCTATGACATATTTTTTAGGGTTATATGAATTAATTAGCAAAGATGTCTGTTCCTTTCCATTGACTAGGAAGGAAAGGAAACCTGAAAAATTAGCACAGATATGACAGTTCATTTTCCTGTGACTGAGGTATGTGACATAGATCCTATTAGTAGTGCTGTTTCATATTTGAATCCTTCTTTTCACTGTACACTTTGGCTAAGTACTTAGATTTGTATCTTTGCATTCATAATTGATATGATTATTCACCTTGATAAAACATTTGCATTCCAAACTAATGCTGGTACCACCAACAATGAATTACTATAACATTTTGTTTTGTTACGTTTTTTATTACTTGGTACAGTATAAGAGATGTTTTTCAGTAAAAAGGTCAGTAAAAGTTCATTACTTTGCTGGCACTTTCATTGCTATGGGAATAATAAAGTTTTGCCTTTCTTTTTTTTTTCCCCAATTCTTTTGTCAAAGGCTTTTTGGCAAATGCTGAAATTTGGAAGAGTTAAAGCTACAGAGAAAGAATTCCCACCAAATCAAGTGACTTACTTTGTATACTACCTTTCAAAAAACTTTGCTGTAGGAAAACTCAATTGAATTTTGCTGGGAATGTTTGTTACCTGTTATAGGTATCTGTAAGAAAATGTTGAAGCTTGTTTGAATTTTCTTTATGAAACGTATGCAAATTTGGTTAAAACTTCTTTAAGAAAAGCTTTAAGATGTTCTGTAGATATTAAATACTTATGAAAACTCACTATGTATTTTGAAACTGGCTTTCATGATCATTACATCAAAATTAAACTGCTACAATTCTTTTTAGTTCTCCAGCATTATTGGCTCAAAACCAATATTTTTTATTTAAAATGTAACAACAAGAATTCCAACCAACTAATTTCTTCAGTTCTGAATTCTGCTTGGATCACAATTTTCACTTCAACTGATTTGAAAATAGAATTCACCCCTTTTATAGTAATTAACAACTCACACTTAACACAGCTTTATGAAATCAACCAATGACAGACTTTAAAAGTCCTTCAATCAGCATTAGGTGCGTTCTTGAGACGTAAGACAATTTTTGTAAACTGACAAAGTCACTTCAATTTCAGTAAAATTGAGGTACTTTGTGAACAGAAGAAACCTTTTTTTCATCAGGACTGATAATAGGTCCTTTATCAGTGGCTTTTGGAAATAGGAATTGATTAATTACATGGCAGCACCTCAAGCAAATTTGGTTGAGTTTCATGGTTTGTGTCATTTATTCCCGTGAAGCGCACAACAGAAAGTGACTGATTTACCTGTGTAAATCACTTTATTCGTTATTAATAACTTTGCCATGAATGTAGTCTCCTATCAATCTGTTTTGCTTGTCAAATAGTTAAATACATACTCAGAGTTTAACCTCTTTTAAAAATTTGGGGGAAGGGGGGTATAATGAATTACAGTGAATTACTTAATAATTGTTGGATTTTCATCAATTACATATTTTGACTCTAGTGAGTTGAATGCAATTAAATTATAAATTATGGTAATTATCTGGTGTAAAGACTGACCTATGAGGTATAATCTAATACATTAATATTGACAAGGTACAGCTGATGAAGACAGAGAATTTCTGTCATGTTTGATAAAATACAAAAGCCTAACACTAGTTTGCAATAATAAAACATATCCAATTTTAGTAAAGTATTCCGTTATAAAGAGAACAGTATTTTAATTTGAAAGTTTATATATTTTTAATATTTGTTATTAGTAGTAGTATTTTGTTTCTACTCTGTGATCTTCTGAAGAGTAATAACATATAAAACTCAATTGATACATAAAATCTTTCATTATTAATATTGCAGTTTACCAACATAGTTGTCCTTAACTATTATCTACCTATTTCATATAGTAACATCTGGCATGCTTATGACACTAATCTGCAGGACAAACTCTAGTGAATATCACTGAATTGTAAGTATAAATATATCATATTAATTATATTGAATTGCAAGTATAAAAACTATACCCACCCCCCTCAGACTCAATATTACCCAGTAATTTCCATTATATAGGTACTTAAGTCGTAAATATGAAGACTGCAGTTCATAGCATAAAACTTCTCTGTCTCTTTCTAATATCAGCCAAATGAGAACAAAGTAGTTATAACTAGAATCTAGTTGCCAAACTTTAGAAATTCACAAAGTGTCACAATCCATCAGTTAATACCAGGTATTTTTTATATAGTCACACACTGTTGTATATGGCTTGATTTGAAATCAGCTCAAAGACTTTTGGTTTGATGGATCAGACCCTAATCAGGTTGTGTTTTCTGAAACAGGGAGACATTTTATCTAAAGTAATTTGAAGATTTATTGTTCATCATTGCAAGTATTCAATTCTCTAAGAACACAGATCTTAACTTTAGATTAAAAAAGCAATACTGTTAAAAAAATGTACAATGGCATTTTTAAAGGGCAGTTAGGAGGGTAAATTGAGTACCTCTCAGCTTGTCACCCTTTCCTGGGAGTCTCCTGACTGAGGGCGACTCTTAGATGACAGACCTTTTTCAAGCATGTATGAAAATGGGGAGGAGGCTATTGCAAAGAATTTTGCAGCCCCAGTGAGCCAGAATTGGGGTTAGTGGAGAAGCAGTGCTGCCACATCCTGGCACTCTGCTAGTGCCCATGCTTTGTTATTGCTGTCTATCAGACCGCACGCACACACACATATTGAGAGCACTGCAGGCAGAAAGTCTTTACCAGGTGGTAAACAGGGATCATCACAATGTTGTGAATAGGTGGCTATAGCAGATGGCAACAGGATGAAACCCAGAAAGGCCAATGAAAAAAAGGAAGAAACACCATTAGTGATAATGAACATCCTCAGCTGTCACTTGACTAAAGGAAGCAGTTAAGAAGTGAAGTGAGGAATTATTTAATTTCTGTGGGTCTGCTGTTATGAAGAAGAAATTGGAGTTCATTACAAAGAAAACAATACACTGTAGATGTGAAATAATACAGTAAGAAAGCAATGTAAAACATGGTTAAATAAGGCACAGGTATTTTCACAAACTACAAACATTCTACTGCTGGAAAAGAATTTATTACATACAGTGGATTTTAGTTGAATTATTTAGATTTCTTCAACATCAAGTAAATAAAGAATTACACCAATGCACTTGCTACTGAAATGAATTGCTGGTTTTGTTTGTTTAAAATTAGAAATTTCACAGATACCATTATGGACCATAAATTCGGGCTGTGTTTTGTATCCCATGATGTGCATTCAAACACACAAGACCTTTCTCTTCTCAGATCCTTCCCTATTTATTGAGACAGTTTCTGAAATTTCTTATTTTCAACTTTGTGACCTTCATGACCTTGATCTATCACAGTTTATCATCTTCTTATGTATGCTAGACCATTTGGGATGAACACAGTACTTGCAGCACTGCAATACTTCATAGACTGTCATTCTTTCCAGCATAATTTAATTTTCTAGGGGTTTATAACTCAGCTGTGAGATTTTCTGCAGTGTGAAACATGAGAAATAAGATGTCATCTGGGCAGCCCTTCTTTAAACTAGAATAGGGTTTAAATCCCTTTAATTGGTTTTATCATTATGTTTTATCATTATGGAAGACAGTGAAAAACAAATTGTTTTGTAGGTTTGAGTGCATTATTTGAAGTACTATATAATTCAATTAAAAATCTCATTAAGAACTTTGCAATGGATAAACTGTTTATTCATGCTATGGATTGACAACTTTAAATACAGTAAAAATTGTGTTTCAAAAGGTTATAGCACTGTTTTGATAAATTCCAAGGTAAGCACAGTAAGGGTCAATACCTTTTTTACCAATTATTTCAAATTGGTGAAACTTTGAAACACCTCTTTAACCAAGAGACAAAATTATTTGTTCCATTAAGTTCACTGGTGCTTTAAAATAAGCTGGAAGTTTATTATTTCTCCTGTGTAAGTGCAAAAGTAATATCAGTTTTTGGATATACCGTTACAAATACAATAGTAAATATAAGTACCATCTTATTTTTGCAGTTGTTAAACGTTTCCAGTGATTACAAGTTCAACAGAAAGACCACAGAGTGATGACACTTTGGGAGAAAAATGGATGTATGCATTCCTAATAATTATTATTAATTCACAAAAAAAAAAATAAAATCAGCAGAATAGCTGCATTTTGCAGACTTCCACTTCTCTTCTGTCATTGACAGGCATTGCCTCCATAGAGATCTGCCTTCATAACAGGTCTCTAAAAAGACTCCTTATAGCTAAGCAAAAGGAATTATCCACCACAAAGAATCTGCACTTTTTTCTTTTAAGAAAGCAGTCACCACAAAATGGCAAGTTCACCATGCTGTGTGTGCCTGCTAATTTCACTTAGATTATTTTGTGTATAGTCTTGGGTTTTACAGATTTAGTGAGTTTTATTAGGTTTGATTTAGTTTGGCCTTCAGGTGACTGGCTAAATCACTATCAATTTACTCTGAATATTGAAAGCTCTGGATCTGAAATTAGGGCTGTGTTAATTAGCTGTAATTGGTCACAGAGATGGCAGAGAATTCTGAACACTTTATTAGCCCATCAGCAAACGTGGATTCCTGGGCAATCAATCTTCAGGATTGAAATAAATTATTTAGTTACATTTAGCAATTAAAATAGATAATCCAGTTATGTGTACAAGAAATGCATGAAATACATCCCTGAATTATGAAACCAATTAAGGTGCGTTTTCTAACCACAAAGGATGGTAGTAATAACAAACTGTTGCAAAGCCCACATCAAACCAAAATGAGTCATTTTCTGCATTTCTGAAAACACTGAGAACGTATGAAATCTTCCAATGCTACTTATTCATACACACTACATGCTTCATGAGATTCCTAGTTTCTTATCTCAGACTTCTGTAATGCACATCACCTTCGTACCGCATTAGAAATATTTCATTCATGTTTATAGTTGTACAATACAACATGGTAGGAATGCAAGCTTTCATTCCTCAAAGGAATGAACATAATAAAGTGAAACACTGCAAAATTTAATTTCTTTCTGGGTAGATAGAACAAAGGAGAATCTTTCAGCACTGATTTAATTCTTGTCTCACAATTTCCTCAAAATCCACTGCCAAAGCTGACTTGCACATCCCATCTCTGTTCTAACCTCTGAGCAAACTGACACGTAACCACCAAGGAGGCCCCACTTTATACATGCAATCCATAACACAGGGTCCTCCTGCAATATTTTACATCATAACCACACCTCCTGAATACTACAGAGCACTACAGAATTTACAGTCAGCATGTTCTGGATGTGTAAAATTGCACAAAATATACCTTAACTCTTTCTATGAGTGGAGCTTGAATTCATGTATTCTAACTTCAGCTACTGAAATACCTTATCTTACCTCAGTTCTAATGGATCCCTTTCAAATACCAAATAGAGAGGGTCTCCCCACCAAAGTAATTTAGCACATCTATTTTACAATGAAAATATCTCATTTTCATATAGTCACTCCTGGTACAAATTTCATCTTATATAAACTGTCAAAATTCCCAAAGTTGATAGTTTACTTCTGAAAGAATGTAAAACCATAGTAATCGAGAAGAAAAATCTATGGTTTGGCAGTCTAATCATAGAAGCAACTTGAAGTTTATACTGGTAAATTAAAAGAATACACAAGACCTAAAATATATATACTTATACTTTATGTCTATTTTGAATTAATTCCCCTTAAGGTAATGACAGCAATATTGTTGATTGTTGAAAGGTAATGACAGCAATATTGTTGATTGTTGAAATAAGAAAATAATTTCTGAGTTCAAATCTAAACTACTTTCTACTCTGCTGATGTGTTTCTACTTAGCTCCATGAATATCTGTGTATCTGGGTAACTCATAACTTAGGGCATTCACTTTCTTTATTGGCCAGAGGCTAACAGCTCTGTAGTGTAATCAAGAGGAACAAAACTGTGTATATTCCTCAGACACAAGGTTCCTAGCTTGATTTGCTATGTCAAGCCCCTATTTTCTGGTGAAGTCAGTCCTGTGTAGTACAGTCACTACTAGCAGCTCTGCTATAGAGACAGTCATTTCTTGCACAGAGATGTAGTGAAAGTCTCTGGTAGCAGCCTGTAAGTTGAAGTCCCTTGTCATCTTTGTAACCACTCTTTAAAAATTTGCAGGCTTCTCCTAGGTCACCCTTCAGTTTTCTCTTCTCTAGACTGAGCAAGTTTCTCTCTCTCAGCTTGCTTCATTCATATGCTATGCATACTTCCTAAACTTGGACTTCATGGAACCTCAGGTAAAAAAAAAGGAAAGAAATTGAATGCACTGACTTATGAAAGTGTTACTTAAGGAAAAATACACTGAATATTCTGTGTTTTATAGATTAAAAAAGTACAGTTGAATATAATTTCTTTGGTATCCTTCATTTACATTTGGAAACTAGGAAATTAATTTTAACCATGCTTGTAAAACTAAACTTACAGTTCTGAAAATAATCATTCACTTTTTTATGCAGGTCTGGTTGTTCAAAGAACAGTATCAAACCCAAGAGAAAATTTCACTGGATTTTAGAATTAATGAGTCCCTAAAAAATACACTTCAGGTTTTGCTTTCTATATGAAAAGATGGCATTACCTTCAATGGACACAAAAGGCCAAACTCTCAGAGGGTGAAAATCATTTTAGTGTCAATAGCGCCTGACAGGTGCTCTTACGTGAAATCTTCAGCTATGTCCATTGACTTTTTATAAATAAGGGGTTTAAACTGGAAAAAACAGACTGAGTAGGAACTCAGGAGTAGAAAAGCAAGGGTCATGATAAGAACTGTGTAGTCGTTGGTATGTAAATACAAATAACAGTCTAATGAATTCTGCTCTACAGGAGCACAGCAGTTTCTCCTCTTAACATTTCAGCATGAAGACCCGATTTAAAAGGTAGCTTAATTTATCACTTAGGAACAGAAATATCTTTGGAGAGAGAAAGAAACAAACTCATGAACTCAAACTCAAAATACTAGAGTATCATCTCGCAGAAATCTCCACAAAATACAAACTCACCCTGCAGATTAAATTTTACGTTGTTTTATGTCTACAGCTTGGTCTGAAAATATCAGTTTCCATCAACACCTGTGGGATTTAAACTCATTTAACCAATACAACATGAGCATCAGATTTCCATCTGCTTAGAAAATTTCCAGAGTCTCCAGTACAAATTCAGATTCTCATTGCTTAGCAGTACCCTGACTAGTGTATTGAACATGTATGAGCTGACAGCCAGTTCAGGAATTGCTTAGTCTAAGAGTTTGTGCCCTGGCTCTTGACTGCTCATTGAAAAAATGTTAAGAACTTGATTGATTGATTGATTGATTGATATTTCATATGGAAAATTAAAAGCAGAATATGGTGGTGTGTCGCTCTTGGTTTTTATCTGTCTGTGTTGTAGCATTAAGCATGTGGTGCCATAATTAAAATCTGATGCCTGTTTTGGGAGGATTGTTGAAAAATAACTTTATATTTTGCTAGGACTCAAGTGACTTCCTTCTGAAAATGAAGACAGATGAGAAGCAAAAAAATCTGAGAGGTTTATGATATGTTTTCTCCATATTTCAAGCCTCTGTGTCATCCATTGATCCAGGATTGGTTGGTTTCTTTCAAGATCTATGTCTCAAAACCATTTTTAGTAAATCTTGAGGTCAATATTGATATATAGCAGGACAAAATTCTATCAATTTATCAGTAACTAATAAAGTCCAGGAAATTAACTTTGAAACATCAACTCAATTTGTTTTGAATTAAAAGGCTGAAGTTTGAATTTCAATTCCTAGTAAATTTTTGTTACAGATGTGATAACTTTAGAGCTGGAGTTCTTATTTAAAAAAGAAAAAAAACCATAACCATTTGTTTTCTGTTTTACATACATGTTTCCCAGTCAAACTTCTCACAGAAGTTTGGCTTGCCGAAGATTATGCACCCTTTACAAACATAGGTTGTCAATTTATTTTACTTTTCACTATATATCATTGCTAGATACAATGTATAAAAATGAAGTAGCAGTGAGGTAATTTCTCTTCCCCACTCCTTTCCTCTCTTTTCTCAACCAGGATCATATTCCTTGTGCCACCCACTTCATTTTCATCTTTGCCTTCAGTAACCAATATGTACCTCAAAACTTGATTTTCAGTCAATTTGCCAAGTCTTAAACTAAGCTAGAATTATGGCCTTATTGAAAACAAGCGTGTGATTTAGCTAATAGTAAGAATCTGGTCCTCTGTGCTTATGATTTTTTAAGATGAATTTAGGGTTACCATGTTTAGAAATTATCTTTTGCACTTTTTTTGCCAGTGAGCTATACAAGCATGTCAGAACACTGAAGGCAGCTATGAAGTTTTTAAAATATGTTACAGAAAATGTGAATTATTTTATCCTTCTTGAAATGCTTTTTTATAGAAATTAAAACAGAAATCCGACCATACATGCTCATATACACATTATATTACTGTCAACATACACATTTTCCAAGATGACAAGGAGCTGCAAATAAAGACATTTAAATCATAAAAATGTATGAAGTGTAAACTAGTATATTCTGACTCTTCTCATAGTATCTCTTCTCTTGGTAAACTCAGCAAAGACACTATGCTCTCTCCAAGAATGTAAAGGATGTGCATAGTTACATAATACATACTCCTTAATTTTTTTTTTTTAATTTCAATATATGGGATGTCAAACAGAATATGCTGAATTTTACCTGCAAAGGCTTTGTAATCCACCAAGTCAAACATTACAATAGCTACTGCTGACCAGGTAACAATCAGAGCAACGACAAGAATCCATACTGCTGGTGAGCTGAACGTTGTCACAAGGTCCTCCGTAACAGATTTTTTGCCCACTTTCATGGATGATGAAGGAACAGATTCGTTCTTACCATCTATTATTGTCGTGGTTGTAGACATATGTCCTAGGTAAAAAGACAAAGCAGAGGAAAATAGAATATAACACTTGGAACCTAAAAATCGAGAATATCGTTGTTCTGAAATCAATCTGTAATCAGAATATTTAGCATAGATGTGAATATTGTATTATTAAAGGCAGGCAATTGTGCTTTCTGGAAGGAGTTTTTCCTGAACTGGGGCCACTTTTAGTAAAGTTAACTTTGGAAATAGTGAAATTATAATGAAATAGCCATGACCAGCCTTTTTGATTACAATATGATATTTTTTAGTCTGCCATGAATAGCTACAGACCTGGGAGAGTGATTGATGAAAGCATAAAATATTATTACTCTCCAAAGGGCTGTCTTGTTATGGGCTGTAGGCCAGATTCTCAGGTGATGTGATTAAGCATACTTCCATTGACTGTAATGGAGCTAATGTGTAATGGAGTAATGCCACTGGAGGTTTGGCTGGAATTCTGCTGTCAAGGCCACATATCAATAGCAATAGGAACATATATACTCCATTTTATCTAATAGGAACACAAATGATTTACATGTCCAGTATCCTTACAAGTTGCCAAATGGCTTGTAGTTGATTTTTAAATATATTTGTGTTATTTCTGACTTAATGATAAAGTCTCCTAAGGAACAAGAATAACAGTGTCAAAGCAGACTGGATTCCAGAAAGCACAGGTTTGTGCTAGAAAGCTGGTAGGAAGGTGAGTATTTACATACATTACCTAAGAAAACAGGTGACGTGCATTAACTGTTTAGTGAAGAGTTAACAATAGTGACTTAATCTGCTTCTTCCTGGAGTATTAAGGAAAGTTAATTCAGGACACAAGCCAAAATTATGGTTATGGAAACCTGACCACATTTGAAAGTTCTCAAATTACTCCTCTTCACAAGAGAAAGAGATGACTTAAAGAATCATGGTTGGTATTTGTTTTCCAGTATATACAATAACAGTAGTAAAAACATTCATAACTCCACAGCCAAAAACTAGAAGAGCACAATATCTATACTTAATTAGGTTTACAATATATGCGTGTGTGCTGATGTTAAAGTATTCAAAGATATAATAAATATATTCCAGGTCTGTTTGATGATACCAACTGTCCTAAATTAACGCCAGTGATTTCAGGTACCCTTGCCAAAACAGAGGTGTGGAATTTCAAGGAATCAGATGCTGCCTGTTGGGCTCATACCTTTGTGTCTTGCACTGAGATCACCTATCTTCTGTCACAGCTGATAAAACTTATAAAGATGATAATTTTCTAGGATTTTGACAATTTTCTAGTATTATGAGGTAAGGAAGGTGACAGACCTGCTTTATACACAGATAAACAGATTTTGTTTCAATTTTCACATAAAGAATGGCAAATATTCATTTGGAAACCATTACTAGAACTAAGGTACAGGGCTGTTGAGGACTTTCAGATATTTGCAATCACAACGTCTATGTAGCCTCTATTTGAGAATCACTATATTGATATTCTTAAATAAATAAAGGAAGGAAGGATTAGTTCCTTGATATTAACTTGACATTACCAATAGCTATGTATATTAATCCCTAAAAAGAAAAAAAAAAAGGCATAACAAGTCCTCCAATCCTTATGCTAATGAATATTGTTTTTCTGCAGAAAGTGAGAACAGTAATCTAATGTGCTACTGAAATGACCTTAATGTATCTCACATATATCTGTAGAACTGTGAAAGACAATTCTGGTATCAGAAGTTCCCTAACTCTAAATCTGTCATATCCATAGAGTGTTCAAATTGATAACCCAAACTATTCTACAGTGCTTTTGTTTGTTATGTAGGGCATTGGGTGTACTTCCCTTAGCTCTACCTTTTAAACTTCCTTCTGCGCAAGCATCCTAACACTGATCAGTGCCTTGCTTCTGGAAAGCTGTTCTGCTACACAGCAGTGTTGTATAAGCAGAAGAAGATTGGCATATTACATGCTTTTGTTACTTATTTGAAATCTAGTCTTATTTATAGAATGTTTATTCTGTTTATGAATAATGTCTATCTACTAGGATAGAATTTATACACTTTTTTAAAAGAAAAAATATTATAAAACCATCACTATTTCCATTTCTTCAAACATAAATTTTAGATCAAACATTTCACAGCAGGAGGAAAAATCTGCCAAGTGACAAATAGCAATAAAGATCTGATTCCAAAAGTCAAATTCAGAATCAACAGCATTTTGTTATTCTACTGCATACAAAATGCTAGTAATTTGTGCATGCAACAGGTCATAAACGACACATTATGCATTTTTTTTTCTCTTGTGAATATCAGTCAGAGTTTATGATATGTAAGAGAGAACAGAAAGGTACTGTCTCATCTTGACTATCTGATTACTACCACAGCACATCTCCAAGGACATACTAATGACAGATATTTGCACAGTTATAATATACAAGCAACTAAAACTCTATGTGTGTATATAGATAAAGACTTAAAATTACCATTCAAAGGACCATTCCTCCAGGTTTGTTGCTATGTAAAAACTGTTCTTTCCTATTTGGTATACCTCACTTTTCAAATTCATGCTGCTATATGCCTTCTTTGATAAAGAAAACAGCTTCCCATAATTTATCCATCTGAGCAATGCCACAGAGACAAAGCTCAAGTATCCTGGAAGATTATCTTTTGCATGCTTTTGGCTGCTGATGTAGCTGTGTCAGATTTCTCCTTAAAAACTCAGGATGTTATACAACAAAATCACCACCATCACATTCATTGAAATGGGAGAACAATTATTAACTAGAAGTCAAGCTAAGACTAATGCTGTTACACTGCCAGAGCTTCCTGATGCAAGTGCTTGCAGTATGATTCAGGAGACCTAAGAAAGTTCTCTAGTGCTGTTAGGGATGCTTCATGATATCAGAGATATACAGGACTGTCAGGCACAATCTATAGCACACTAACTTCTGAATCTCCTGTAAGAACCCAGACAGAATATCCTAAACCACTGAAAATAGAAATTAGACTTTTATGTTCTTAGATGCTAATATAAACAAAATTGGCTGGAGGAGTTTATCTGAGAACTCCCAAGGGAGATATTGATATTGCTACTACACAATCTCATGTGGGGGTTGTTTCCAAAAAGTCCAAGATGACTGCCCTCCCCCCTAAAACCATTCTGTTATTGCATGGTACTATCCTGATGTCTTTCTCTGCCTGTTCCTTGCTTTGAAGTGCCCAGGTGTTGCATGCATTTTTGTCCATTTTCCTCCAGCGCTAATCTCCCCAAACCTGCAGCAGTGCTATTTACACAGCAAGACCAGTAGAGAAAGAGGGGACCTACACACACGCAATGTTTCCAACAGTTCAGCCAGCACTCCATAGTTAAGCAGAGCTCCTGCCCAAAAGGTCAGTGGGTCTTCAGTTGCTCCATGGGGGAATGAGAGACAGGCTTTTTTATTGCTTTGAAATCATCTGATAGAGGCTAGAGAGTTTTACTTCTGCAACTGAGAAGGGCCATTCAGCAACAGGTTAAAATCAGATTACTGAACTTTTCCAGACATCCTTGCTGCCCATAAAATACACATTTTCTCTCCCAAGACAATTTTCACTCTGTATTTCATCCAATCAGAATCCAAGGCAGTTAACTTTAAAGAACACTGCAGTGGATCAAGAAATCATGAGCATATCAGTTGTCCCTGCTTTGGGGGAGGCAACATCCGTCACAGGAGTGGAGGGTGCAGCTGAAGGATGTTACAAGTTCAGCCATCCAATTCTAGTCCACCACCATGTCTGCTAGAGCCTCCTGGCACTTTGGGTTGTGATTGCTATTGGTTTGCAATGAGGATGGGAACTTAAAAGAATTACATATACATTTCTAGAAAATGATTATTCTGGGAATATGTACCTCTAACTCCACAGTTTCTCATGCACACAGAACTATACCCTAGGGTCACAAATGTCACATTTACATCAATGGACTGATTTGCTAAATTCCAAACAGCTAAAACTCTGAGATTCTTACTATTCCTGCTGTTTCAGAGTTGTCACTTAGGATACAGTCTGAAGAACCATAAGGTCTCACAAGTATAAATAAACCTTGATAATTGGTGACAACTTTGAGATGAACACCATGTGATTTTCAGAGTCCAGAGTGAGCTTGTAGTCCTAGCAGCTTAGATAAAATACTCTTTGCATTTGTGAGTAGAGCTCCCTTAAGGCATAATAAGCATAGGAGTCCATGGTTAAGAATGGGCACTTGATTTTACAGTTCAACAACTATACCTTCCAATACCCAGAAGAAAAACCAAACAGGAAACAGAACAAAAAATACCCCTACTCCATTCAGACTCATTCAAACATAAAGCAGTAATTTTCTGTATTTATGTTATAGGTTTTATTTTGGTTTGTTTTGTTTGTTTTGTTTTTGTTTTTGTTTTTTTTTATATAACAGTCCTAGTTCTGCCAATAACAGCAAAAATAAAAATAAAAAGACAATCACATAAAATATTCAATATGCAATGCATTTTTAAGGCGGAGCATATTAAAAACAAAGGGCTAGTCACAAAATCATAGAATCATAGAATTGTTAGGGCTGGAAAGGAACTTAAGATCATCTAGTTCCAACCCCCCTGCCATGGGCAGGGACACCTCACACTGAGCCGTGTCACCCAAGGCTCTGTTCAACTGGACTTGAACACCATCAGGGATGGAGCATTCACAACTTCCCTGGGCAGCCTGCTCCAGTGCCTCACTACCCTTACAGTAAAGAATTTCTTCCTTATATCCAATCTAAACTTCCCCTGTTTAGGTTTTAACCCATTACCCTTTGTTCTATCACTACAGTCCCTAATGAAGAGTCCCTCCCCAGCATCCCTATAGGCCCCCTTCAGATACTGGAAGGCTGCTATGAGGTCTCCACGCAGCCTTCTCTTCTCGAGGCTGAACAGCTCCAACTTTCTCAGCCTGTCTTCATACAGGAGGTGCTCCAGTCATGCTACTAAAAAAAACGTAGATGTCTTTTAAATACTGTTGCTAGGGCATTT